ATAATCTGAATCCGTGATCTGCTCGAGCTGTGTTTCCTCAGAGGATAGTAACCCTGATCACATTGGCACTTAAGAGGAATGTATCCAGCCATTTTCACGGCCGAATCCGTGTTTTTTTCTTTTCCCCCTTGTTTTGTGTATCTGAAATCTGACAACCTGGCCATGGGGCTGAGATGCCCTCACCGAGGGCACACTCACACTACCATTTCCAAGGATATACAACTGCAATCACGGCCAGAGCTTTGTTTCCTTTTTCTTGTTTTCTTGTTTTGTGAGTTTCACGGCCGCAACTTTGTACCATAAAGAAAATGGAGTGGGACCAAGGCTCGGCAAAACTCGGAGCACAGTGAAATTCAGGGTCGGCAAAAATAGGCTCGGAGGTACTAGTGGTTTAAGGTTTTTGATTTTTAAACTAAGCTTGGTTGCAAATTCGGGTATGACTCCCAGACAAAAGTTGTTTGTATTCTTTTTTTTTTNGAGAAAATGCATTCGCTCATTCAATAGCACTTCCTAGAGATCTGTTCAGCGACACCCAATCTCAGTGAACAACCTCCGGTTACAGTTCAGAATTACCCCCTGCCACTTTGTGCAAAATTACCCCCATGCCACTTTGTATAGAAAATGCCCTCGCCCAGATTTTTTGGATGTTTTTTTTTTTTTTTTTTTTTTTTGGGACCTTTCTTAGTCCTTGCACGCCCGGGTCGCCCGGGAAAATAGGGTTGACCCAGGCGGCCTGGGTGGTAGGATTTTTTGGATGTTTTTTTTTTTTTTTTTTTTTTTTTTTTAATGTATGCGTACGCGCGTTTTTTGGTCTGTACGCGTATGCCAGAATATGTATGCATATGCACTGCGTAGCGTACGGGGTGCTACCCAGCTTTATTCATTCTTGATTAGTGACAGGGAGAATCTCTAGGCAAGATAAAGTTGGGTCTTTCTTTTTCAGGCCCTATCCTAATGAAAGTTACATCTCTTTTACATCAACAGACCGCCCACCACCCGTCCTACCAACCACTCAACCAACCCACCCAGGAACTAACTCATCACCCACCGAAACCACCCACCCACAAATCAACTCGCCAACCACCCACCGAACCACCCCACTTCCACCGCCCCTCTCACCGCCCCGCCCACCAACCCACCCACCAACCCGCCAACCTACCAACCTACCAACCTACCAACCTACCAACCCACCTACCCACCCTCCAACCAGTCAAGTATCCATCACCCTGCTCACGGACTGGCTCACAAAGCCGAGGACCAACCCGCCCACCAACCCACCCGCCAACCTACCCACCAACCCGCCCACCACCCTGCCCACCACCCTGCCCACCATCCTACCCACCATCTGTCCCCCCTACCCACCCACTCCCATCCCACCCAACCACCCCCATCATACCACCCAACCGACCAACGAACCGCCCACCCACCCACCCACCCACCCACTCGAACAACCAACTAACCAGCCCACCGAAGAAACAAAGCTTTCAATGGCTCTCTTAGGCAGCCTTCCAAATGAACACTATCCAACTTCTCCTAAAAAATAATGCACCCTCATCGTTACTGTATCCAACTGTAAAGATGGCCTGCATACATTGTAATTGACAGGGAGAGTCTCTAGGAAAAATAAAATTGGGTCCTAAAGAAAGTTTGATCTCTTTTACACCGAAAAAACGCCCATGCATTATAACAAATGTAATCCCCACCAGACGTTACAATCGTTTATAACACTTGGGCAGGAAGTTTGGCCTTCCTTTTGGGAGAAGAAAGCAGTTCTAGCCTCTTTTCCTCGGTTTGTGTCATGCTCACCACGAGAATGTTTATGTACACTTGCTCCTACCCTTCATTGCTCTTGTCCTCTGCCATTGACAACCACCTGTTTCCCAAAATAATATGTTTAGGTGCTCTTTCTAATCCTGACAGTGCCCGGATCCAGGCAGGGGTAGGACTTCCCTATTATCGTCGGAAATCCAACCGGGGTAAGAAAGATCGCTGATGATCCAAACGTCTGCTTATTGATTCGGACTCAATAAGCATCTACTGCCTTAATCGTGTTTCTTTTCCCTTTCGCTTCCAAGAGCATGAGACACCATTGCTTGAGATGACCACCTGTTCAGTATTTACTATTTAAAGAATACGGGGTTTGGCGGAGTCCCAAGCTGTTGGATTACAGAGTACCAAGCCGTTGGATTACGGAGGCCCAAACTGTTGGATTACAGATCGCAAGCTGTTGGATTACAGAGTTCCATGTTGTTAGGAAAGAAGAATCTGAGGCCAACTAGATTAGTAAGAGCCAATTACCAAAAGCAGGCTAACTTAAGCAGGGGTGAGGGGGGGTATATCCTTCCGCAGGGAAGCAATCAATGCCAGCCGCTCGGGCCTCTCAGCCTTAATGGGGAGGAGCGTGAGTGAGTATCCAAATGTATTACATATTGACTTGCCGGGGGAACAGGAACCGGACTGTCGCTCCCCAGAATGGTAGGAGCCAGAACCAGATGGTTCTGACAATGTTTCAAAAAAAAAAAAAAAGGAAAGAAGAAACTATTTCAAATGGAGTGACTGAGGAACTTCAACGAATACCATTGGAATTTGATGAGAGAATGAGAACACTTGAAAAGGGACTCCAGACTCTAGAGATTTTACACGACAATGGTGGACGAAGTCTTTACATTGTGTACGGAAAAAAAAAAAAAAAAAAAACATTCTTTTATGCCAGTAAACTAAGCTGCACCAGGAAGGGTTCCAGTGCACTGCAGAGACGCACTAAATCTAAAGCTGTCGAAAAGGAGAAATATTTCTGAAATACTGCTTCCGTTATGTGTAACTGTCGTACCGTAAAAGGAACAATTCCCTTGGATCCTGGAGTGGATGTGCCAAAAAATTGGACAGGGGACTAGGTCTTTGGATTCATAATTACAAAAGCCCTGAGAGGGTTTACTATGACCTTGGAGGTTTTCTGTGAAACATCGAAATCTTGATAAATCCACAAAATATATGTATGACTCAGGGCCCCGATCAAACAACTATTGACGATACTTACTGAAAAGCTTTTGAAGCTGCAAGACACAATAGTCAAAGTTGAATTTCCTCTATTTTGTGGCAAGAAATCCCTCAAGTCTCTCCTACTATGTGCTATGATAACTGTATAGTTGCCTGAGATTTGGACTTGGTGGTAGGAACTGGAGAGAGAGAGAGAGAGAGAGAGAGAGAGAGAGAGAGAGAGAGAGAGAGAGACAGAGAGACAGAGAGACAGAGAGACACAGAGAGAGAGAGAGAGAGAGAGAGAGAGAGAGAGAGAGAGAGAGAGAGAGAGAGAGAGAGAGA